GGGTGGGGTGGGGTGGGGGAGCTACAGAAGCCCTGTGCTTGGGCTCCACATTTCAACTCTACCAGATCAGCAGGGTGTGTTTTTTCTTCTGCAAGCAGGCAGTTTTTATCTCTTGACCTTAAAAAGCTGCATGCATCCACACGGTTCAGAGGACTACTTAAAAAGCTTTTCACCTCCAGTCACCCCCTGCAGTGGAACCAAATAAAAACAAGAGAGTCAGTGACAAATGAATTTATTTTTAAAAAGAATAAAATTGACCAGGAATGATTGTATCTGTCTGTCTCTCTCATCTCTGTCACAATAATCACATCGCCAAAGGGCAGTGGGGTTACGGTGTGCAGGTGTTCACCAGCGTGGATTTAAGAGGTCTTTGGGTTTCCTTGAGGTGTCACCACCGGGAAGGCCGTGTTTCCTGCACCTCCCCACCTGGGCACGTGAGCCAGGCAGGACACGAGATCCAGCCCTGTCAGAGGTGACCTAAGCCCCTCGTGGCTGAGAGTCAAAACCAGCTCTTAAAAGAAGGAAAAGGTGATGATTTGGGCAGGCACGCGGGAAAAGATCTGTGCTAGCTACTTCCTGATTACATGCTGACTAAGCAGCTTTGCTATCCAGCCTTCTGAGTCACAAACAGCCTTCCTCCGCTGAGAAACCATTTTAAAGGTTTTTCCAAACAGGAGCATCTGCAGGACCGTGCCAAAGGCTCTTGGTCAATTAGAAAATAATCGGGATCCAGCTCTGAGAAAAACTCTTATTAGGAACTTCCAAAGATGCCTTCAAATGGAACTCTAAACTTTTGAGATTCTTTAAGGCGACGATACCAAAGAGGGCATCTTGGAAGTACGTGGGCCGGACGCTCAGCATTTTAAAGCATCGCAGAGGGATCTAATTTACGGGGAGCAGCTCCAGCAGTAACCATGAAAACGGCTCGTGGCGGTGCAAAGCAGGATGAAGTGGGCTGTGACTCCAAAGCACCAGCCGGCCTCCCCAGGTCCCGGTCCTGCCAGCAGCAAAGCTGTGAAGGGCGAAGAGCACAAACCCTGGAAATGACTGCAGGGTAGCCCCCCAATCGTGTGCCCTGGTGTGGCACAGAGGACAAGAAGCTGCTCGTGGAAGTTCCCCATCTTTCTGGTCCGCGGGAAATCATCAAAGATCAGACGGTCTGTGAGCGACGCAATAAAAAAAGGAAACTGAACAAATTCCTTTTCTTTGCACTAGAAGATCAGCCACAGATTCCAGCTCTCGTGGCCGATCTTCTAGTGCAAAGGAAGGGCCAAAGGAAGGAAAACCGGGCCAGCCGGAGATTGCCAGGAATTTAGCACATGGCCAGAGAACTCTCTTCGCATTTTGCTCTCTCAGGGCTGAGTATGTCCGTTGCATGGAATTATGCAGCTCAGACCACACGACCCCCCGTGGGGTGGGTTAGCTTGAGAGGCAGAGATTGGGGGGGGCCAGCCTGCTCCGTACCTGCCGCAGCCCTGCCTCCTTCAGGTGGCTTCATTGTAAAGGTGGGGCTCGCTCCCGAGAACGGCGTAGACAGTTGGAGATTTCAGTCTCGGCTCAGGGAGGGGATCACACGGCTGCAGGGAAAAGCAGAAGAGAAATCCCCCTGTAGACGGCCCTCCGCAGGGTCTCTCCGCTCGAGGACCCAGAGCAGGGAGGGCAAATTACACATTTTGATAATATTACTATTATTTTACTCCTTGGTGTTTGGCTTCCCTTTAGTGGGTTCAGGTAAGAGGCCAGGTCAGTCTGGCTCCAGCCCTGAAGGATCAGAGGATCGTGTTCTCCCGGCCCGGCGACCCGATCCCACCTGGCCACAGCTGCTCCCGCGGGACCCGCCTTGCGCCGCCAGATTCGAGTATTTGGCCTCGTAAGGCTGCTCCCTCTTGGATAGGCCTGCAGAACGCAAGAGGGCTTACTGTGCTTGGCCCCCCTCGGGAGCAGGCAGAGAGGCCCCCCTCTTCTTCTGGAGCCACAGTCTTCTCTGCCCCAGAAGCTTCCCAGCGAGTGCGGTTCTCCCGCTCGCATTTGCAGGAGTTGCATCTCATTTTCCAGCCCGCTGTTAAATGCTCTGTAAGTTGCTCTGGGAAGGTTTTGTTTTGAAAACAAACGGTTTTGTTTGGATATGTTTGAAGGCTCAAACGTTTTGAAGAAATCAAAAGTGCTGGTGGTGCTGCACGGGAAGAGCCAAGGGTTAAGAGAACGAGCCTGCAGGGAGAACCCTTCGGGCGCATCCGCTCCCCCAGCCCTGTGCCATGGAGACGTGTTAGCCCACAGCTCCCAGCAGCTGGGGGGGATGGGAGTTGGAGTCCAACCTCTCTGGGGAAGCGAGTGGACTCAGCAGAGCTTTTTTTCGGGCCCAGCCAGGGGGCTCCTACCTCTGCTGGGGGTCCTTTTCCTCCTTGTCCTCCAGAGCAGCAGCAACCCCAAAAGGACAACCACAGGGGCAATGGCGAGCAAACACCACAGCCAGGTCAGGCGTCTGGTTTCCTTTGCCCCTGCAGAGTTCAACAGGCCTCTGGTCAGAAGCCTTTCCCCACACAGCTTGCCAAGGCTGCCCGCGCCTCCTTCCCGAGGGGCAGAGATGGGGCTGGCTCACCTGCACGGAAGCAGCAGGAGGCCACCTCCAGCGAGGCCCTCTTCTCCTCGGCCGCGCTGCTGATCAGGCAGGTGAAGGGCGAGCGGGAGGAGCCAAAAGGCCACCACAAGCGAAGAGCTGTGCCATTGCCAGAAAGCTGGTACCAGTCGGAGCCCCCTTCTTCCAAGGCCTGGGGGGGCTCTCCTTCAGTCCACGAGACCTTGAACTCCCCGGTCCCGGCACCCTGGCAATACAGGGACACGTTGCACCCCTCTGGGAAGTGTGATGTGACGTTGCAGCTCACCTGGGGGCTCGGGACTGGCTCTGTTGGGGGAAACCAAGGCACGGTTGAGCCCTTCCTGGGCCTTGTCCCAGCAGAAGCAGGCAGTCCCAGCGTCATTCTGGGCGGGGGGTGTCTGTCCTCCTGCTCCTTTCAGCCCTTACAGCTACTCTACCGTGCCTGGCTCACAGCCCAGGCAGGAAAACTGTGGTGGGGTCTCCCCAGGAACACATGCACCCCCCCTGCTCTCGCCTTTCAGGGACACAATGGAAGAAGAGGAGGAGGAAGAGGAGGAGGAGGAGGAGGAGGAGGAGGAGGAAGGCCATACAAAGGAAAGGAAACTTAAGCAGCTCTCATTCCCTGTAGCTTTCCACAGGTGGTTCCAACCCATATGTATTCCCGGGAGTGGGAAGAAGTCACTCTGAGACCACTCAGCAGGAAGTGGGGAGCAGGGTGCCAGTCTCCGGAGTAAAGGTGCCCTCCCTTGGCCGATGCCCAGCTGCCCTCCCCTTCAGCTGACCCGAGAGTTGAGCTGGCTTCTCGCTTACCATGGAGGGTGAGGGCGAAGCTGTAATCTTCTACACCTCCTCCGCGGAACTTGACCCGGGCCTTGTATAGCCCATCATCCCCCATTTCCAGATCCCAGATCCTCAGGCAGGTCATGTTGATCACTTCCACGCGTGGCCCAAGCCTGTGCCCTGAATTGATCTCCGGGGGCCTCCCACTGATGCTTTCCACCAGGAGGACCCTGGGGCCGCCCTGGGGCTCAAAGTCCCAGTCGGCGGCAGACACCAGGCGGTCCGAAGGGACACGGGCAGAAAGCAGGACTGATCTCCGCAGGGTCACGTGCAGCTGGTACTCCGGACCCCGTCCTCTTGGATCGGCCGAGGTGCCTTTCAAACAGAAACAGAGGCCACAAGGTTTTGGGTGGGACGCTCCTCCCAGCTGCAAAAACACCCCTTTTCTTGAAGGGAGAGAAACACGTGTTGCGTAGCACGTGAAGCAACCGGAAAGAACGAGCCCGGCCCTCTTCCCCTCCAAGTGAAGCCAGCTGGAAGCGCAATCCAGCCACTCATCCTCCCCCTGCCCACCGCCCCACTTTTCCAGTACCCTCAGCCGATGCCCGGCGGCTCTTCGCTGCGGGGAGCTTCGGCCCCGCGCGCCCCGCGCTGCCC